CGCAATTCTCACGGCATAAGGAAAATATCGCAGTAATTCGAAAAGTTTTATTACTTTTACGTGCGTATTTGTGAAGTCGATTTCGGCAAATCGACGCGTAAGAGCCATTCTGTATATATTTTGACAGATTTTTACTTACTTATAGGTGCATGTTATTACCTTACAAAGATTTCGATTAAAATAAAAACAGTTAACTTTGATCTTTATATTACGTAAATATCTGAATATCGCTAATCGCCTTAAATTACAAGTACTATAAAAAATATATGTATAAACGTGTTATTATATGAAACAATGGCTTGTTGCCATTTGGCATCAATTCTCACCGACAATATCCTATTGCAAAATATGTATTCGACCTTTAAAAGAGGCATGCTAGATGTGTCGCTACACAAACATAGTTTACAAATAGTGTTTTTTTGTTATTATTAGATACACATTACAAGCAAAAAATAGTTTAAAACTAAGCACAAATAAGTATTAAGATAGATCATTATAAATTAACTGACTTTGTATTTTTACTGTCTCAGTTTTCTTATATTCCATAAGCACCTATGGATGGTATTAAAATTCACAGCATGTACAAAACAACATTTAATATATTAAAGCAATAACCCGAGGGAGAAACTGTAATCTCTACTGAAAACATCGCGCTGACCGCAGTGCAGGGAGCACTAAAAGTCGACCCAAACATACTCTCGGAGAGGACTGAACAAACAATGTTAATAAAGGCCAAACAACCCTACCTGTCGCCTGCATCGCGTTTAACGAAAACACGCCTCATCTCAAAGGAACACTTTTAGACAACGGCCTTATCTATATTTAAATAATGAAATTAAGCTAATATTAGATTTAAATAAAATTAATTCTATTTTTATTCCATAGATAACACTTTCACCGTGGTAGTGGAAAAGGACGGCCGAGGGCTGGGTATGTCGGTGTGCGGCGGGGCAGGTCTGGTACGCATCCGGCGTCTGTACCCGCCCCAGCCAGCTTGGCGGACCGGCCGTCTTGCGCCCAGGGACCTCCTGCTAGCAGCAAATGGCGTACCTCTAGCTGGACTTAGTACCTACGTGAGTGTCGTACTTTAGCACTTTTGTGCTTTCTTTTTTTACTATTGTATATTTCTACTATCAACGTTGTCAACGGAGTTAACGGGTTAATTAGACATAACATTTTACATGATTATCCCTTTTGTCTTTACTCGTTTACTAGTGTGACTAGTCTTGGCTAGAGCGACTTTAGCCTCGATTCCTAGGAACAGGTCTTAAATTTACCGATTTTTATTTCCATATTTACCTTCTTGACCCGTATATGTAACTTCCTAAAATAGATATCTTTAAAACAAAATGTATTTCAGATAAAAATAATATTTTTCGGAATTTTTTCGACATCTTCTCGTTTGTTTTTCAAGTTTTACAATATCATTAGACCCAAGAGATCTCTTCACAAAGTTAGAATTTGCTAAACTTCCGCAAGGAAACTTTCCTAAGACATTCTAAAGTTCCAATTGTAATATACATTTATACTGAAAGGGAAATATTAATTTCCATGGAAAAATAATAACAAGACATTGATATATATTTAAAGGTTATATCTAGCCCAATCAGGTTTAGGGAGGTAAGTTACTAGTATATTTTAACATAGGACAAGCTTATCACTAAAATATATAACATATTTCACTGTACATACACTCTTAAAATGTAAATATTACACCATCTATAAAAGTTGCAATTTCCTGTTTTAGCACTTCCGACGACACAGTATTAAACATAAAAAATATGTTAGCGTTGAAATTGTCTGCGCTAATGCTGCAGCAATAAACTGCAAAAGGTCTACACTTATAGGGCTGCCACAAATTACTTTTTATATTTACCCGTATACGGCCTTTTTTGTATCAAAACCCTCAAAACAGAAAAGTTTATCAGAAATATTTACTACTAGACTATTATTGAATAAGTAAATAAAATATGGCTATTAAAAAATTAATTTATATTAGATCATTTACTTTGCGAAAACGTCTATTTTCGTTTACATTGATACACTTTTGTACTTCCAGTTAAAGAAAAGTTTTAATTTCCCATAAACTTCTCTAATTACAGCCCTGTTGGAAATGTCTCGGATCCGCCGTCGCCCGTGGTACTAAAATCTTCGGTAACATATTAGGCCTGTCGATAAAGTTATAACTTTGCCCAACTTTGATGTGAACACACAATCTTTTCTTGTGCCTGTAAGGTAATTTCGTAACTTTTGGTTCACAAAGTTTGAACTAAGTTGATACAAATCTTACATCACGGTGTACGATGGAAACCTAAGTTCATATTAAGATATAATATCTTTTCTATTTATAAAATAACACAAACGTGTATGAATAAAACCGACGTAAATAAATAACAATATTTCCTTCCTTTCTTTCGACTAAAGTGATTTCGAAATACAATTGAATAGAAACCTTCTCTGATTATATTTAACTCTTGATTCCATTCCGGAGGTCGAAGGACCAAGAACGATGAGTGTCACGAACAGAATTAACAACTCGAACAAAGTGAGGCTGTCCTTATTTTGAAATTGAATTCCCTTTGCTTTATTTGAGTGATTTTACATTTGTACCTTTTATTGCATGTCTATTTATATCCTTTACTATAGATTTAGTAGTATCCAGCCAACCCAGCTCTCCGAAGAACCCCAGCAAACCCTTTATGTTGGTCGTAATCTTGTAGGTTTTGTAATAATTTTCATCGAAATCCGTTCAGCCATTTAGGCTACAAACTCTAACAAATATCCATCCATCCATCCATACATCTAAACTTTCGCATTCAAAATCTTAGTATGATAGTATAAATAATATGAAGTAGATAATAGTAATAAATATTTTTTTATTATCAAAACACAACAATTATAAAACTTTGTTTTGTATTATAAACATAAATACAGTATTTTATTGTAGTAATAAAATGATATCGTCACCAGCATTTCTTGAGGCGTGTAGCATCACTAGCTAATTGCGTCTTTTAAACAATGACGTTAATCAGAAATGCACGACTCGCTTCTCCCTAATGACGGCTATTTCACATGTTTGTAGCATAACATTAAGAAAATATATTTGTATCTTTTACTCTTAAGTATTTGTCGCAAAAAATGGCAGAGACGCATAGAAAGGATAAACCACTTTATGAGTGACCTACGTTGATTAAGGGTAGAGAACGCGTCACGGTCCGCGTGTAGCGGTCGCTACCCCATTTTAGCGGTATCACAGGCTGTAGAAACTACCAGTTTGCCACCTTTTGCTATATAAAAAAAACTGTTGATGCAATCTATAACTTTTTTTTAAATTTTATAATGTTTAACAAGAATATTCTAATATCTAGCAGTATAAAGCTTTGAAACGATTTTTTACTGTTTTTCTTAAGTCAATGAGTTTTTAACTTTGTTAAACTCGGCAAAGCTCTACGTAGTTTGAAATTTTTACAACTTTTCCCTGCCTTCTAATGATTGCGAGTCTTAAGGCTGTCCGTACTAGAGTGTTACTGTAATTCGAGTTAAAAATAAGTTCTCACAAACAGTCTTTGACACATTTGAAGCTTTTTATCGGTAATAGTTTAAATCTTTACACTTTATATTACAAAGAAATATTGCTATTTTAAAAATGTTCTTACTCTAAATTGTACTAGGAATTCGTTACATTTAATTCGTGTCATACAAACAATTCTATGCCGAAATTACTGTTGAGGACATTTTAAAACTGGGCCGGCGTCCATTGTGTTGCTAAATTAGAAAACCGTGTACCTTCGCTACTGAAACTAACAGAGATTCACAACTAAATAAATTAAAAAGAATATACAATAAAGAACAAAGGACTTCACTATTTTTGAATAGAACAAAACTAAAATATGTTCATCTAAGAACCGAATAGATTGTTAAACATATTGATTTTAACACATTTACTGCGGCAAGTAAAATAATATTGATGTGGTGCGGCGGTGGGCCCAAATGCGCCCTCAATATTTCCGCCAGTGCGTGGCAAGTCTTCCTAGACTTACCAGCACTAGGATACATTTAATTGCTATGACTCTGCGTAAAACATAGTGTATATTTTCAAGCACTGAACTAAAATAAATAATTAATTTTTAATAAACATTGTTCGCGTATGTTATATATCCTTGTAACTTTCATATGTAATAGTAAAACGTAGGTTGTTGTAGCAAACGGGTTTCTCATTATTCAACGTCTCAGCTAAAAGAAACAGTCTGAGTGTACAAAGGCGAGGAAATTGAAGAGCATTCCTCTTCCGCCGCGACCTGTTGTCAGACAACGTCCTGACAACGTGAGATATTACCTACGAGATAGTAACTTTTACCGTATATCTATACTTCTGTACTAATGTTATAAAGAGGAAAGATTTCTTTCACTATTAAAAAAGTACGCTATCAGTTAGTACTTAGGCTATATTTTTTTCATTTCACGCGGACAATGTCTCAAACAACAACTAATAGTACAATATAATAAGACTTTAAAAACATTCCTACGAACAAAATGATAAGGTTCCTTATCAGAATAGTTCTGTGTTCTGATAAACTTGCATTTCCAAAATTTATTTTCTTGATTTATGGTTGGACTATGTGTATTAACTTTATTTTGTCGTAGTTACGCATGTTTGTTAAATTTGTATGATCATTTTTAAAATATATGAAACTGTTACAGTTTTCATAAGTATATCGCAATTTAAAAAAAAATCAAAATAGTAAAAGGGGATTTTCCCTAATTATAAAATAACGTGACTGGAATAAAAAAGTAGCAGTAATACAATATCGCTGATTTCCTAGTAGCGCAGAAATTGGTGGCGTGCGGGAACATAGTCACGGTAACATTACAGCCAACCTAATGTTTCCGTACAAATGCGATCTGATATAAAACTGGAGCTCTATATCCGACTTGAGGTTAATGCTCTTGATATTGATTCGCATGTTATAGCAATAGGCAAATTAATAAATTTGTGGTCATAATAAGTGATTACAAAATGCTCTTGTGAGACGAAGCGCCTGAAAAGAAAGTTATAGTACATGTATTCATATATTATACAAGCCCTTAAATGTATGTTCAGATAAAATCGGTTTTAAAACTGAGAGAAAGACTCAACAAGAACAGCACAAGTCTCCATTTTTCTACGTACGAATGATTGAGAAGAGTAGGTCAAGAAATAGGCTTTGTTTTTATAATTTATGGACTATTATTTATAAGGAAAAATAATAATCAACTTCAGTATAAAACTACGAAAAATCGAATCAATTTAATATCATTTACTGCATCTAAGATCGTTAAGGAAATTTATTTTTCATCGCAGCATTTACCTCGTTGAACGTGAGTAGCAGTCGAAAGATCTTTTATGAAAACATTTTATAAAGTTAAAGTTAATTTTTAAAGTTTTACTAGTATACTATAACTAAGAACTAACGTAACATTTCACAACTTGTTTATGTTATAAAAGATGGAACGGACATATACGTATTACGTATATAACGTCAAAAATATGCCTTCTCTCGGTCAGGCAAAAAAAAAACTGTGCTAAAAAATCTTATCAAAAGAAAGTTAAGGATATTGAATTACATGTTATATCTGGCGCCGCGGGCCTTAGTCCGACCATTCTATCAGATATTACGGCACACACAATTTAATAAATGGCGTCACAGATTGTACGCAATTCGATTACAAGCATAGGTCAAAGGAACGAGAACGACGACGGCCGTAACGAAGTTGAATAGCAGAACAATTGAGGCTCGTCATAACAACATTCCCGATCCGCGTTCTGTCTTATTAAGATACAGTTATGTTACGAAAACATACAGATAACTTTTATATGGCTAATAGACTAAACGAGCAATTCATTCTTAACCATTTACTGTCAATATTGTTACCCAATAATAAAATAGTAATGTATAACTAACCAACGTCTTAAATAAATCGCAAAATAAGATGTGTGCTCTATATTCCATGATTGAGGAGTACTTTTAATTAGAAATAATCAAATGAAACACTACTTTCTCATTTTAGAACGGCGTCATACATTGTTACAGCTTTCGCATTCGCACGATTCTATCAAAGTGTATACCTGTTCAGCCAGGCCGTGCATTAATTATGGGAACGCCATAGAATGAACGACCTACTGAACTAAGTAACTACAGAAACAAGCTACTAATCGATTTCTCCTTACATTACCCACGTAAACCATTTCCTTTCAAGCCCAATTTTCTTATATGTCGTACCGTATTACTAACGTCAAAGGATGTAAAATGCTAAACATTACTGTATCCTCCACGTAACAGAGCAATTGGCCGTGAGCCATAAAGCAGTCAGGGCAATGGTTTATTGCGGACCTAATGCGCCCCGGGAGCACATAACACGGCAATTTAACGATCAGATATCAAACGTCTCGGGTTCGACGCTCGCCTGCCGCTGAAACAAGATTAACGCTAGCGCCCCCTAATCCCCATACTATTGCTTAATTTAATCCGCGTTTAAACCATTTACTGTATCCTGTGCTTTACAAATGTTTGTTTTACTATTGTGTACGGAATAGTACAAAGCTAGGCAATACGTTGACGGTCATTTTATTCCTTTAAATACAAAACCTCATTCAGTTAAAGTAAAAAAAGACTCGTACAAAACACCCATTGTAAATCAGAGACATGAAGATTTTCGTTTCTTGGTGATCATTTCATTCACTCTCTTAATACATTTTTTTTGGTCGAGTATTTTTGTTAAACACATTAGGAATAAATATTATTGTTTAAAACAGAAGAAAGTTCCGATTAACAAGTTTGTATTCAAAGCTTAGCTTAGCACAAAACATCGGATATTGAAGAATGTTTCGTTTCCGTAGACCCTTTGTACGCGACACTGCGACGGCCTCGGAAACTGAAAATTGATTTATAATATAAACTTAAATGCTTGTTTCAAATATTTGTTTGGTTTCATTGCCAGTATTAATGGCCTAAATTATTTACTAATTAAAACCGAACCAAATGAAAACCAAACAAATTAAATGTAATCCAAATACAGTTAACAAAATATTAAATGAAACAACACAAATATTAGTTCAACAATCCTATACACGAAACCACACGATTTAAATACAATTTTATTATAAATTTAAAACTTTTGTTAACTCAAAACTTATGAACAAAGTTGAAGATTAAAATTGAGAAAAGTAGCTTGCTAAAATCTAAAGTCCATGGTAACAAAATTGCTGGTGTTGGTTATTATTTTAATAAAAAAATCTTTATTATGGCAAGAACCTGCTCATTATTTAGCATAAAGTATAATAATGAAGCAAATATTAACCTTTAGAGCGTAGTTCCGTTCTTCATAAAATGAAAAGTCGACAACATTAACGCCCCGACGTTGCGGTTCATTGAAATCCTTTTCTTTGATTAACGTCATCAAAGTGCTGTGTAAGCGGTATATTTTAAATATACGAGTAAATTTCAATATGGAGTCGCATTGAAAATGTTATATTGCATATTGAAATATTTTAAAAATCAATCTACTACTTCATTGCAATACTTACCACCAAAATAAATTACATTTTGTGGAACGTCTCTGCCAATGTAGAATAATAAACCGAAAGCCGATAACCGTATTTGAAATTAATTACAACAAAGCTTTAATTTCTAATATTTATTATTGACCTCTAAGTATTGCGTAACTTTGTTACCTATTGTTTTCGTTGAATAAGGTTTTTTATTAGAAACGACTAAAGTTTTTACTCCCCAATGCTTTGTCGGATTGTTCGAAACAAACGAATGCTTGAAGTTTAGCCGAGCAATGAATCTCAGGCAGTCCCGAAGGAAACTTAGCAGGTACGCCGATACCAATAAGAAAAGAAATACGGTCAAGAAAACAGTGCACGTACTGTGAAACATTCCGCTAAATGTAATTTACTTCAACAGTTTCTTTTATAGAAGTTTACTTATTAAGTAAAACAAGTAGATTTGGAAGTAAGATTACATGATACAACTAACTTAATACGCTCGTAAATAATTTGTTTAAATCGCGATATTATCTCCATCATACAGCTACAGCTCTTCGAAAAAACTTCATTATGTTTGTCACGTCTATGTCCATAATATAGAAATGAGTAACTAACACTTTTTAGTGTTTAATAAAAATTGCAGCAGATAACTTGCAGTTATGATGGATGTATAGTGTGACAAGAAGGGATAAAGTTAAGAATGTGTAGCGCCAGTGGCCGAGAAATTGAGAAGCAAAAGGTTATCGTGGTATGGACATGTTATGCGACGAGACGATGGGGACATAAACCAGATTGCATGTCGATGCCGACAAAGGTAGAGGAAGACCGAAGAAAAAATGGACGGATTGTGTGATAGAGGATATGCTTAAGAAGGAAGTGGATTCAGGTATGACGGCTGATAGTAGTGTATGGAAGAGCAGCACATACTGTGCCGACCCTCCGTAGGGATAAGGGCAAGTTGTAATTAATAAAAATTGCAGCAAATTGAACCCTTTAACCATAACAAATAATCTTTGTTGTCATTCTCGTAGGAGGCAT